AAAGATATTTTATATTCAAACAAAGTATTTCTACTCACTCAAAGAAGACAAACACTTTGAGTGAGTAGAAATACTTTGTTTGAATATAAAATATATTTTNCACACACACACACACACACACACACACACACACACACACAAGCGCACACAGCCACTATATTTTTTTAATCTTCGTAAGTTTCTACAAATTCTGTGCCAGGGTCTGTATAAATAAAGAATTGTTAATTTTTGACAAAAACGTCAATTTGTAATAAAATTTTATAGCTTTTACACATACAAAAGCATTTGTTTAACATTTTTTTGATTATCTATTGGTGATTTAATAAGTGCAACGAATTTTTTTGAGTTTCAGTATTATGAAAGGTTTTAGAGGAAAGAGTACTGATTGGTAAAAAATACAACTTAAACGAAAGCGATTTTCTGATTTTTATCAGAAAACGTGATTCACAATATTCAAAAAAATAATTTTGAGTACTTCGAAAGCTTGGAACTTCAAAAGAATAGTTTTATTCTATGTACAAAACGTTTTAGTTTAATATAAAAATGTATTTAATTGATTTACTGTTTTCAAGCGAAGTATGGTTGAGTTGAAAAATTGGTTCACGTGCGGAACGCGGTGGTTCGACTCGCTCGTGACATTAATTTTCCAATTCTACCACACTTCGCATTAAAAATAAATCAATTAAACCATTTACGTGTGGTGACCGTTATTCGATAATTATTCAGAAATCGTGAGATGCGGTCTGGTGTGATGTAGGTTTCGGAAAAAAACGATAAAGAAAATGTTTTTCCGAAACCTACATCACACCATACCGCATCTCACGATTTCTGATTAATAAACCATTTACGTTGGTTAATAGGACCAACTAAAAAACATATACTAATAAACCATATATAATGAAAAATACATTTTTGTTCTAAAATCGGTTTCTACCCTTTTAAGGCAACTTGAAACAATATATTCCAGTACGTTTTCATAATTTGTTAAAACAACTATTTTTTTAATGATACTTTCAATATGTCTATGGCTTTATTAAACAGAAACATATTAGCTTTACATAAAATATTTAAAGCATCAGTTTTTTTACACATGAATATTTATTAGCGCGGAGGGGTTTGAAACCATTATTACGTCAAAGAATATCATGTACTTTGAGGGATTTAGAATTAATGTGTGAATGAAGAGGCTTATCCCTAATTTCCCCCTAATTAGTCTGGCGTATTGTGAACGAGTCTGGTGGGTGAACAAAATTTATTAGCGTGAATGGAAATGGACATCACTCAATTACCCGGGGTAATATGGAGTACTCTGGAAAAGTGTGAATGTTAACCAGACTATTATGTTTTCATCTTGTTTTTGTGTATTTGTGTTGATTTATCCCAAATAGACCAAGCTTTGAGATACAGGGAGACTACCTTTAGAATAACCAAATGAGATTACCTTTAAATCATAAAACATCATCTTTGTTCTAGTATCAATAAAATAAATTAGTAGGTTTAAAACGCGAGAAAGATAAGAAAAGAAATGCAAAGTTAAGAAAGATAGGGCTGACGTTGACCAAAGTAAACTAAAAAACAAAAATAGGTCAATTATTCAAATTTCGTTGGGTATAATAAACTCCAGGAGGTGGGAGTTAACCAATACATGTCGTTTATCTTTTGTTCGTCCGAGGGCTATTTTACGAATAAGCCAATGGAAATTTACCATCTTTCCAAGCAGGTCCGGTTGGTTTTAGTAGCCTCAAACGGCCTTACATTCAAGAGTCATCAGTACAGTCACGAAACCAAGACCAAACCAAAGTGGGCGAGGAGCAATCTACCCCGGGCATCAATAGATCCGACAGATCAACAGTTTAGATTTCGTGTGGTCCTTTTGATCCATTAAAGCCCCTTAATGAACGAAGTAAGCCCAGAACATTTTTTACTGCCTACAAAAGACTACGTTCAAATAAATACTAGTCAACTTAACTGTACTTAACGAATTTTCTTAACACACTGACAGTTATGTTACAATAATTATAATTAACACAATCAATTATTATAAATAAATCAACAGATATGTTTTTGAGCCATGCCCATATAATAGGCAATTATTCAGAAATCGTGAAATGCGGTCTGGCACCAGACCGCATCTCACGATTTCTGAATAATTATCGATTAACGGTCAATAATCACCACACATAATAGGCAATATTGCCAATAATCCATATTGATATAAGTTTTCCAAATTTCGAAGAAACATGGTCCGCTTGTTGACGGTGTGTCGATCACGTTTCTTCTGTGTCAAAATCTAATTAAAATATCTGTTCGGATAAATTCTTAAAAGTGAGATAGAAGTGTAGCAAAGCTACGTGGTCGACTTTTTTTTTAAATCCTCAGCTCAGAGAACTGTAGAGAAAGTTGATCGTAATTAAAGCCGCCCTTGTGAATCGGAATGGTCTGATACTTTTATTCGATATGCTCGGCCACACGTGACACGAAGGGTAAACTCCCCTATTTTTCTCCCGACCTCTCACCAACCAATTTCCACGATTTGCTTTCGTGTGTTAATTTGTTTCGACGGAAAATTTTTGTTTACGGACTTGTTTTACGATTTCACGTATGTAGAATTTTTATTGATAATAAATAAGGATATAAGGATCAATAATAAATATAAATAAATAAGGAACATCGATATTTACAGGTGTATTCTTGGTCAAATTAAGGTGAATCTTTGCACTACGATCCTGATTTTTTTCCAAGTTTTCGATGTTCCCTTTTAAATATTAATAACTTACCTCGGATAGGTTCACAAATAGAAGAAAGTATGAACAGTTGAGAAAAAAAGGCATCAATGCTTGTTCAGTCGTGCTGTTCGCGAGAGAGAATAGAGAGGGAAAAATTAAGAAAAGGGAGGGAATCTTTGTGAATCAAGAGTAAGGTTTTATTAGGAATCTAAGGCATAATAGATAGAAAGATAGACGGAGAAAGTGAGTAGAGAAAGAGAAAGAAAGTAAGGGAGAGAGAGAGAGAGAGAGAGAGAGAGAGAGAGAGAGAGAGAGAGAGAGAGAGAGAGAGAGANAGATGGAGGAAAGTGAGCGAATGATTGAGTGAATCATGATAAAGGTTTTATTAGGAATCTTTGGCATAATAAATAGAAAGATAGAGGGAAAATACATAGATGTAGAAAAAGATAAGAAAGAGAGAGAGAGAGAGAGAGAGAGAGAGAGAGAGAGAGAGAGAGAGAGCGAGAGAAAAGGGAGAAAGGGATGGAGAGAGAGAGAGAGAGAGAGAGAGAGAGAGAGAGAGAGAGAGAGATTATGATGATGATGATGAACACTTTATCAATCAATCACACAATATTTGGTCTCAAGGACCCTTCTTACATCTAATTCGAAATGCAATGGTTATCATGTTTACTCTATTTCATTAAACATTGATTATTTCTAATAACCTGGTTTATGTGTTCAATTGGTCAATCAATATGTTACATACATCTATTCATTTTGTATATAAGATAATATTAAATTCATATACAAATTATTATTATTTTTATTTTAAGTACAAATTATAAATGTATTTACTTCAAATTGCTTATTCAAATAAATATTCTAGTATACAGAATAATTGAGCAATTAAAAAGTAAATTACTAATATAATAAGCGAACAAAAATATTTTTTCAATACAATTCAAAACAAATCATGAATTATAAACTGTCAATATAAATCCAGAAATAAAACCTCTAGTCACTAAATAATAATAAAAGGAAGTTAAATTTAAGACAATGAATTATTAGCATCAATCATAGATAGCTTCGTTAGACGTGATTTTTCAGACTGTTCTGTAAATTGTTCATAATTACTCATAGTTTTATGTGTATAGGTATTCTATAAAATGTTATTGCACCTTTTACTGAGCATGACCTATTAAAAGATTTGGTTTTGTGCTTAACGACGCGCAGGAGGTAGTTTGTAAACTTAGTATTTTTATCATAAATCTGAGACATATATGTAGATATTGCGGTTTTGAACTTTCAAACTTTATAAAACTTCACACATTATATTGTAATGGATTATACGATTGGTTAAATTTCTAATTAAGAGATAGAGGAAGAGGGAGAGTGAAAAAGATATTGATTGCTTAATGGTTTATTAATCAAAACACATGCAAAAGTTTGGTCTCTATCAGCTTTCATTTAACGTGTAATTACAATTATAATATTTGTTTATAGTCGTAATAGACATGAAATATAAATAACAAATTAATTAAAAACCTCTAGTCACTAAATAATAATAAAAGGAAGTTAAATTTAAGACAATGAATTATTAGCATCAATTACAGCTTCTTAAGAGGTGATTTTTCAGACTATTTTGTAAATTGTTTATGTTTTCATATAATTTTATGTGTATAGGTAATCTTGAAAAAGTGAGAATGACCTATTAAAAGTTTTGGTTTTGAGGTTAACGACTTCATAAGAGAGTTTGAAAACCTAGTATCTCTATCATGAAACTGAGACATATGTGTAGATATTGTGGTTTTGACTTTTTAGATTAATAATCGATTATTAAATTACTAATTAAGAAAGACGGAAAGAGGGAGAGTGAAAGAGAGATTGTTTGATTGATTAACGATTTATTTATTAAATTAACATTTAACGTGTAATTATAATTATTAATATTTGTTTATAGTCGCAACAGACATAAAATAGAAATAACAAATTGTTAAATCTACAGTGAAGTAAATGAATAAAGTGGGAGTAAGTTGATCTTATAAGTTATATTTTTATACCGAGTATATTATTGTTAAGTAACAAAATCAGATTTGCCTAAGATTAGAACCTTCTAGAATTGGAACACAACTTTACGATAAAAAAAAAAAATAATACAAAGAGAATTCTATTAATTTCGAGTGGCCCCTTCCGAAGAAAAAGGATTCACCCGCGCGCCCACTGTTGGAATTGACCTTCTCACCTGTTGGTATCACTGTGTAAAACCAGCATGGTCGCCCCGGCCAGTCGAACCGTTTTCGGCGTGCATCGCGCTTGTAATTTTCTGACTTTTCTTGTCCTCTTTTCGCCTCTTCCTCTTTATCACCTTTACTTTATCTTACCCCCCCGCTTCACCCTCGTTTATGCCGAAAACCACGCGAGTGTCACCCCTGGGCCCCTAAAAAAGAAGAATCTCTGTCCGGAATCGCCGAACGGTGAGTTAACCTTATTTCCGTTCATTGTTTCACAATTTTATCTCCTCTTATAATTCTCCCTTTTCTTTTTAATTTAATATTTACACAGTCCGCTACAAATATTTAATTGTCCTCCGGTTTTTGTTGAATATATTGTCGGGATAATTAATATTTGAACCATCGGTACAGTTAGAGCCTCGCGTACTGCCCGAAAGGCACCGCGCCACGACTTGCCATATCATGTGTAAGTTTTATTTATTTATTTAATTTTTTATTTATTTTTGCCCCTTCGATTTCAAGTTCGTCTAGTTAATAAATTTTGTAAGTCTTATTCAGTTTGGGAACTTTCTTTCTTAAAGGTTATTCCAATTAGTTTGCATTCTAGGTGTCTTTAAGTTTAATAATCAAAATAATTAACATATCACATTTATTTAAATATTTGATAAGCAAAGTAAAATGCTGCCTCTACTGAAATTTACAATTATAGATAATTATTGTTCATTTGACGTAATTAGTTTCTTGTGAAGTGAAGAAATTTCATCTTTTCACACGTAAAATATCAACTTATTAAATTCCTTCAATTGACAACAATTTAAATTGTATAAACAGCACTGATAGATAGTGAAAATGTCAATTAAACGCAGCTGTCCAATGTAGACAGAAATATTTCGTTCTCATGCAAGCTGTTTAAGAAATTGCAAAGCAATTAAATTCTGACAATTTGTCACCTTTATTTGGCTTCGTTGGACAAGATTCAAATGGCTTAAAAGATTTTTGAAGAAATTCAAAGAATTGTCATAACCGCCAGCTTCGTTTGATGCAATGTTTTTCCTGGACAAAGCTGTCGGAGCTCAACGTCGAAGCCTGATCCTGAAGTTCAAACCTCTTTGATGTATAATAAACCCAAACTTCCCTAAATTAATATAAATACAAAAACCATTAAATATTAAAAGAACAACATGCTATCAATTAATACAACTTAATGCCCAGTGAAAATGAAGCACTGAAGGTTACAATTTACACAATAGGCCATGATATTTCAAACGTTTTTTCTTATGACGTTATGACTCGTCAACAAGTTAACCAATACATTATCTTCATTTTTAATCATATATTTATTAATTAGTTTTTTTCACATTAAAATTATAAATTGTATTAGCAATAGTTTCCAACGGTACACAAACAATTTTTCATCAAATCCAATACATCAAAAATTAAATATAACAAATCTGATACAAAAAATACTTAAATTAAGTGGTATAACGTATCGCAAAGAACATTAAAAACTAGTTGAATTACTATAATAATTGTCCTGAAAAATAAATTTTACACTTAATAAAAAAGAAACAAATTTTACAATAATAACTGTAATAATAAAGATAGTAATAATAATAAAACCAAAATATATGGGTATTTATAATAGAAGGACATACAGAAAGAATTATAAAAATTTGAAAAAAGAACTTAATGGAACAATTTAATTTTTACAAATATTTTAAAAACAAAATTAATTCCTTCCTACACCTATAATAGATAACATGGACAAATGAGACTACCCACACAGTGAATTTTGAAAAAGTAAAATAAATNTATTTTTTTTTTAAATGTGTTCTAAACGTATAAATAAATAAATGATTAAAAATGATCATAATGTATTAGTTAAGTTGTTGACCACGCATAAACATTTGAAATATCATGGCCTATTGTGTAAATTGTAACCTTTAGTGTTTCATTTTCATTTGACATGCAGGTTACTTTTATTAATTGTTAACATGTTATTTCACCCCGAAATTGATTCTTGTTAAAAAAAATAATAAAGGTCTGTGGGAAATGTTTAAATTATGGAACAAAAATTCGAAATTCTAATTATAAAACAGGAATAAATTTTATAATTAAAATGTTCTGTTTTTTCGAACATTTGGCTTTACAAATTAAGTATTTTAAAAGGTTAAATTAAAGCTTTGGATGGCAATAGTATAGTCTTCTAATACTGAAAACAGAAATATTATCACTCAACCCCCTCATCAAAGGATTGTTGCCCTTTGTGTATATCGGTGCCGTAGTTTGTTATCTAAAAAGGCCAAATAACGTTTGGAAACTATAAGGGAAAATACTTTAATTGTTTGGGGAATCACTTTTTAATTGCTTGTAAATCATATAGTCGATGCAATTGTTGTGCTAGTAACAAACATCTCTTTTGTTTGTACAATTTGGCATCACCTACCATCCCACAAACAATCGAATGGCCTCCCATCGTTTCCAGCCCAGGAATTAACGTACCACGCACAATCTCGGGATACTCGTCCGTCAAAGGAGTTTCTTCCGACCGCCGAAGCCATGATTGTGGATGCTGATGGAAATATCTATCAAATTCGAATGATTATTGACACAGATTCTTAAGTCTACTGTATTAGCCACGCTTGTAGGCAATTTCTTGGATTAAAAGGTTCTGAATTCCCACTCAACATTTCAGGAATTGGAGATAATCCGATTTCAAATGTCAAAAATGTGTTCTTGCACAGTTGCACAACGCCACATATCTGGAGATCCAATGGTAGTTTTTCTTCGAATTGCCTCTGATTTACCTACCACACCTATACCTCATTGCACACCAGATTTTCTTCGCTAGAATTAGCCCATCGTTCTTTCCGTATTAATGGATGTTCTTCTGGGAGCGAATACTTATCCTCTCATAATTCGCTTCTCGCATCTCCTTAAGGGAGAGCCTCTTGTTATCCGGACCATCCGGATGGATTTTACTGGGAAAGATTCCCGGAAATTTGGCCGAAAGTGCGATTTTTTTTCACTTGTTCCACCCGCTTTTACCATTGTACAGCGCTTCTGGCAAACGGAATAAATAAGTAATCCCTCAGTTAATTTAATATTTACGAAGTCCGCTACATACAATGTTAAAAAAAGGAAGCTCTGTTCTCAGTGGGGTAACACTGATCAATTTAACATGTTTCACCCAACAACCACCATTAAATTTTTAAAACTAGTTCAAATTTAGAAATACATGATGGTGTCTTTTAAACCAGTCTATACCTTTTAATCAAAATAAATGAACTTCAATAATTTATACGTAATTTATGATAATGTATTGCCTACATAACATACATGTTACCTGCATAACATGCATTCTTAACATACAGGGTGGCTCTCTACTCAATGCATTAAATTTACCAGTACGTTATACGCTCTAAATGGAAGAAAAAACAAATTAAAACCCATGGTCCGATTCTCATCCCTATCGCAGATATTCAACATGTTTTTCCAACTATCTCCGGTTTTCGACATAAATATACACTTAGCTCTTGAACTATTCATTTTTGTCAAAATCAAAAGAAAGCATTAAAAATAGGTAATCTTCAATGAAGGTTTTGGTTGAGATAAAAAAATCAGTGTCACAAGCGATTCGAACCCACCACGTGAGCTATCGTGACTTCGATCGTGATCCACCCGGACCCTAACTCCCCATGTCAACCCCACCTTTTCTTTTCACATTTTCCCTCCTTTTTGCTACATTTTTATCTCAACTAAAACCTTAATTAAAGATTAATTAATTGAAAATAATTTATTTGGTCAATCGGACCACGAAACCTAATAGATTCAAAATAGCGTTAATTTTCCTTTAAGAAGGCACCCTTCTAAACTTTTCAATTTAATTTTTGGTAACAAATTATGCACTAAATCTTTCAAAAACTTCTGAACTTAAAATTAGTAAAAAATACTAAATTTTAAACTCATTGGAAAAATACAAGGTAGAGCTTGTCAAATTTCAGAAAAACTTCTTTATTTAAAAAGCTTTCTAGGGTGTATTTCTTTTATTACATAAAACTTTTTTATTACATGGAAAACAGAAATTTTATGCTAAATGGGGAAAAAGTGTTAACGGTGTAAAAAAGGGGGAATGGGGTTATTGTAGTAATTCAAATTTTTGCTCTGGACAAAATATATTTCTCAACTCTAACTTAATAAAAAAAACACAAAGAGAAAATGAAATAACACACATAAAAAAGAGACAATTAACATTGCTAACAACCTAAGCTGAAAAATTGTATAAAATATCTAAACTAAACACAGAAAATAGAAACAAAAGAACAATACAGATGCTTTAACAACGTACTTTAACTTAATGGAAAAGCACAAAAACGAGATTAATTGAACGTTAAAATAAAAAAGAACACATAAAAGAGTGGGATTTATCATGTAAAATTTTCCTTTCTTTATGCAATAACATATGCACTATTTGCAGTCAAATTTTCCTTTCTTTATACAATAACATATGCGTTCTTTGGAATCAAAACAATATATGTTCCGATGCAGGCATACTGATATTACAAAAGATCCAAGTTGAAAAAATGTCGTTAAGTAATAATTATTAAAGACTTACTTGCTAAACTGGATGGTTAATAATAAAGCTAGGAGATCAAAGATAAAGCCATGGAGGTAAAAAACCTTTTTTCTGTTGTTGAGCTCTCTGGCTGAATTTGACGCCTTCCTGAGGACTTTGAAAACTTATTTTTAAAAAAATTTGATTTGCCCGGACATATGTGGTCCTAATAGAAATTGGCCGGACAACACATCCCACCGGGAAAGATAACTGAGCAAGGCGTCAAATTCAGCCGAAAGCTCGACATCAGAAAACATGTTTTTTTATCTTCCTGGCCTCAACCCTGATTCCTAGCTTTAATATTTATCATTGATGGTCGATACCATACTCAACTATTGGTTGAAGAAAAATTAATTTTTAATAGTCCGGTTTCTATTTCTTCTAGAAACAATCTTACAATAGAAATGATAATGATGGGATGAGTATGCTGTTCAACTACTTTAAAAAATAGTTCTCATTCTTAAGAGTACGAATCTTACGATCTGAGGATAACTGTTGAAATTAAGGATTAAATAACACGTCAGACTAATAACGACTTCCTCATACTCAACATCCAGGTCCTTGCTCGACAAGATTTGTACAATCTAAAACCTAGATGTGAGATTTAACATTAAATCTAAGGTTGCAG